TTGTTACAAAAAGGACAATTCGAGTTGCAGGAAAACAAAGTTTTATTATTTCAAGTCATTGGGTGTGTTTTCTTATATCGATTTACATTCACCTACTTTTTGTCATACAATCACCAAGTGATCATTTTCAAGAGGAAGATTTTGTCATGTTGAAGTATATATACCTAAGAATAATGATATTTAAAAAAATGATCCTTACTTCAAAACTGATTTTCTAATCTGATTCAATTTGCTTCAAGTTCTCTCAATTCATATGCACAAGCACTACGGAAAAATCTATGTGACGATTTGGAGTCAAGTTGCTGTCGATTATATTCAACTCTATATCATTGAGCATTAACCCTGAATTTTCAAATCTTTCGATTTTTGAACATTCCAAAAGGTTGACTTGTGATGCAATACGTCATGATCGTGAATTAATTCGTGTCCCTTTGTCAAAATGATTCACAAATATTGAATTTGTCTTTCCATTCATAAAACATAAAACTAACCTTTTATTCTTTCGGAAAAAGATACCTCACAGAGGTTGGTGCCTTGGACTCGAGTGATTTCAACGCGGCATGTATCAAACCTTCGTCTGAGAGAAATATTGTTAATTCGTCTCATCTCGTGAACAAATCCCCATTTCTCCCAACTAATTAAAATGCCTGTCGAAAATCATCTACTTTTCCAGCTAATACCACCCTGGATATTGAATTATATTGAAAATACATTTATGCAAGATACCTCACGGAGATTAATCTCGCAGATGTCTCTTGTTCATCCGGCAGCAGGACCATGCTGAAGTTATTCAAGTAGGTCACCTGCAGACCGCAGTTTTGAGGTATTACCTCTCGTCAGTGCAGGAAAAACCTTACCCTAACAGCAAACTGCCTGCAACTTGATTGATTTCCATGCAGCTCAACTGCATGTATGAAACCTTCGTGTAAAAGAAAAATTGTTATCCATTGTTAACTAGTATCGGGTCCATCTCCACTGTACTATTTCATTTCATTTTTCCAACTAACTTAATCGTAGGTTCTGGTAAATGTATTTGAAGACGTTTTTTCGTAGATAGCGACAATGGTTTTGTGTACGAAAGTAGCAGAAAGTATTATTTAATTATGAAGCTGCCTTCCATCTGCCTCCTTGAAAGATTTCCCTGGATTTTCCAGGTTCAGAGTACTCAATTATGGTTGCAAATCTTTAAAGGTTCGAGAGGCCAAGCTGTGGGTTTGGAACTTCTTATAGTTGGGATACTAGAAGCACTTCGTGGTTTTTTTTTGAGTTATATTTCACTCTTGTTAGGAGTAATTGAGATAACTCACGAGATGATTTACGTCAACCATCCAGTTCAATTTCAAGTGGATCATTTCTGTTATTTAAGTAATATATATTGATGCTGTTCAATTCTTCCCAAATTATGATTTTTTGCCTTTTTCCAGCTTATTACTATTGTATGATGTCGTTAAGGGTCTTCATCCCTGAAAAAAAAGAAGTCAGAAACGATTTTTCTTATTCTGGTTGAGNTCAAATCGATTCGGACCATAATCACATATCTCGTTCGATATCTTGGAACCGTCATCTTGAATTCGTTAAGTTTGACAAAAGATTCATAATCTCTGACCCCGAAAACTTCCTTATAGCAAGTCAAATCGGGCCCTAATCACAAATCTCGTCCGCATCTTGAATTTATCAATTTTGATAAAAGATTCATAATTTTCAAATAATCTGCAATTTTCGTGCAAACTTTGAGATCAACACGAAAACGAACATGTTTTAATCTAAAATGTAATTTGGAAGAACGAACACGTCGGCGAATAAAGTTCGGCCCTGGAATGTCCCGGCCTGGTCAAGTTAGAATTAGGGAGGAGTTTGTATTTATTTCATCGGGCGAAATCGCACTGCCATCTGGCGGTATACGTTTTCGTAACTGAATGCTAAAGACACTTAAGCGATATCTGGACAGTTTTTCTCTACGAATTGAAATTGAAGCAGAGCGCTGCCGAAACAGACCGAAAAATTAACCAGGCATATGACAATGCATGATTAGTGAACGCACTGTTCATCGTTGGTTTGCGAAATTTCGTTCCCGAAATTCTTGCCTAGAAAGTGAGCCCCAAAGTGGTCGACGGATAATAATCTAGGACGAGTATTTGAGAACCCTGGTGGAGAACTTGGCGTCAGCTCCCATGCGGTTTTTGATGATTTGAAACGTATGGAAAGATCAAAAAGCTCGAAAAGTGGGTGGTCATGTAAACTAAAGTTGACATGAAACTAAAAGTTCACTTGAAACCGATCGTAACAAATGCAAAACTTGGTAAGAATCGGACAAATATATTTTCTTTATCCTATATTTCATTCTTTTTCGCTTTTGCGAACTAAATCGAACTTTTTTGGATAGAATCGTCACATGTGCTGGCGTGCTGTAGATCCTTTACAACAACAGGAGACGTTCAGGACAGTGATTGGACAACGATGACCCACCAAGGTATTTTCCAAAGCCAAAACTCCACCAAAAAAGACCATGATTACTGTATGATGGGCGGCTGGTGTGATTCACTATAACTTTCTGCAGCCGAGCCAAACAAACACAGCTGAGTCCTATTGTGAGGAAATTGACGAAGTCTACCGGAAATTCCATTAGCAGCAGCCGGCTCTGGTCAACGGGCGAGGTCGAATCCTGCCTTACAACAATGCCCGTCCGCACTTTTCACAAATCACCGTCCAAAAATCAAACGAATTGAGCGTCGAAGTTCTGCCTCGCCGTTTCAAACACTTTGATAATTTTCTGACCGGTAGAACCTTCGCCAATGAGGATCCGGTAAAATGGTCTTCGTCGACTTGGGATTATTTGACTTGTTCCACGTTGGCAAAAGTGCACTGATTTAAATAATGCCCATATAGATTGAATTGGATAAGAATCCACTGAAATATTACAGTTGAAAGTAGACTCATAAAATCGGACAAAACTTATGAAACAACCTATAGATACAATTCATGTGTTGGATGTCAAATCAGTTGAGAATTTCTCACAAACAAATAACCGCTTCCATATTGTGGTAATCAATGACAAAATAATATTTTAGTTGAGTTCAGAGCAGATTCCTACGTTATAAATTCATTTTCACTGAGCTATTTCAACATGTAATGCGCTTCCTGGGATATCTTATAAATTTCTCTTCTCAGTTGAAAAAATGAACCCTGCATCATAATGTATTGTACTGTCAGTACAACTTCATTGTGGTTGATAATTATATAGTGAATGTTGTGTGTCTCAGTCGAAGTTGATGTCGATGTTGATGCCTCTTTTTTTCAGTTCCGTGGTTCGTTATTGATTTAAAATCTTTCTAGTCTGGATAGTCTATTCAACCATTCAATGTTCAAATTTTCCAAAATTATGTTTTTAAAATATCGTTCCAGAACCCAAAATGGATAATTTTTTTATTTTAACGATTTGAGTTCATTCAACTATCATTTTTGTTTTGTCACAAACAATATTTCGANCCTTTTTTTGTATCAAGATGGAGTAGTAGAAAACCAAAAACTTCCTTTCCCAAAAATGTCTATCACTTTTTGTAGTGGTTCCGAAGTAGGCCAATCCACAACTACAAGAGACCAGATATGCCTCCGATATCGCTCTCTGTGGTCATTAGCTGACCTAAGACTTTGTTTGGTGGTTTTTGTTGGCATGAATTTATGAATTGTATTTAATAGAAAACCTCAAACAAAACATAATGAAACTTAGTAATTCTGATACCACACAAACACTTCAAAAAGTCAGCTTCCAAATTGATTCAAAATAAACCCGTGGGTAAAACTGGAGAGAGCTTTCAATATTACATAATTCATATTAACCTACAGTTCCGAGCTCCGAACAGCAGCCGTATTTTTGTGTCCAAACATAAAATTCATGAAACCTAGTTATTTTGGTAATAAATTCGAAAAAAATAGTTACTGAAAAAGTTGAAATATTCTCTTTGCTTTTGATGAGTTCACATCTGAACTTAAATTTTATCTTTAATATTTTTTCAACATCTTTCGCTTTTTTCAATAGTTATTGAAAATTGAAGTTCAAGTCGAAGTTGATGTCGATGTTGATGCCTCTTTTTTTCAGTTCCGTGGTTCGTTATTGATTTAAAATCTTTCTAGTCTGGATAGTCTATTCAACCATTCAATGTTCAAATTTTCCAAAATTATGTTTTTAAAATATCGTTCCAGAACCCAAAATGGATAATTTTTTTATTTTAACGATTTGAGTTCATTCAACTATCATTTTTGTTTTGTCACAAACAATATTTCGAGTAGAAAATTGTACACATCTAAACAACTTTCAATGAAACGCCAATAAGACCTTGATTGAAATAAATCTCACATATGTGAGAGCTTTGCCCCTGAGTATACCCTGAGGCTGCTAGACTCGATCTACAGCAAAGTCATCCGCTCTATGGAGATCCAAACTTCATGAGGTAAATAAGAGATTTTTCTCTCTACACAGGAAGAGCTCGAGTGATTCGGTGCTCTGGCTTACTCCTAGATCTATATACGAGTATGTAGGAAAGACTATAACTGTCGCTTTTGGACAACAACATGCTTGTAAAATACATTTATCGAAATCATTTTTTAAAACTGATGAGATTTTTCATTCAAATTCAATTTCGATCTTCACATTTTCAACCGTATCATTCACATAACTTTGTCTAATTTTAGAGTATAAAATTCATATCGCAACTTTTTTATCTACGTTTCATTGTAGTATCGACAGGTCAAATATGACTGTAGTAAGATACTTGAACTCTTCGACTCCCACCTACTGCTCTCTTCCACAGAATGTTTTTTCATTACTATTGCTATGAAACTTGACGAATCATTATTACAATGAATCTGAGGAGACACACTGCAGGAAACTCAAGAACCATGGTCTAAAATGTTACAACAACCATGGAGTGGATCCATCTACTTCATCAAAACAAACACTCTCTAAACGATAATGCACTAACGACCTAATTTGTTTCAGTTTGACGGATGGTGAAGAGGTCAGAGGAACGGGAATGATCACACGACTGCTGGTCTATTCCCTGTTTCTGATAGCGTCCGGGGGTATACAGTTAGACCAGCAAATTGCCGTCAGCGTTCCCGGTGACATCATCCTTGGCGGTTTGTTTCCCGTCCACACAAAAGGGGATAGGTCACCATGCGGTTCGCAGATCTACCACCGAGGCGTCCAACGTCTGGAAGCCATGATGTTCGCCGTCGACAGCATCAACAAGAACTCCAAAATCCTGCCAAACGTCACTCTCGGCGTCCACATCCTGGACACCTGTTCGCGTGATACATACGCCCTCAATCAGAGTTTGCAGTTCGTCAGGGCATCGCTGAACAATATCGATACGTCGGCCTTCGAGTGTGCCGATCATTCGGTAAATATCCATTTATCATCTTTTGGCATGTCGTTTAGAGCGAGAGATGTCAGGGATTTTTATGCTATATATGTGAATCACGTTATGTCTGTGAGTTTGAGGTTACTATCATGACGAATATTGATTACAAAATCTCGTACAAAAATAACTTCAAAGGTTGAGTATAGAATGTAAATAATTCTACCTTTTCAAAAATTTAAGCTTTCACTATCAGAGCTATTCATTAGGCCGTGGTCTGTAGGTTTTTATGTTTGACGTTTTATCTACAACCACGGTAGATATTATCATAGGCGACAAAGCAACGGAGCCTTTTTCGTGAGCATGTTGGCTATTGTTTAATGCCTGAGGCATCCATTTCGCTTGTGTTCAGAGAGCAGAGTTCTAACACTTTTTTTCTTGGTTTCAATGTAGACCAAACTACAAATACAAAGGACTCAATATACCGCCGGTGTTTCTCTCTGGGTTGAATATCTGACCCGAGTGCATGTTCCGTTAGTGCTACATGATCAAGGAGTCAATTCCTCTTTTGTTTAGAAAGTAAATTTCTATTAGATTAAAAATCGTAATTCATGAATGAATTGTGTGTATTTTCTATAATGTTATCGAATTTGGTACTGAAGAGCCTTGGGGCAAGTGTCTTAAGGCGAAACATCGATGTATACCAGTGAGGATGAAAAAGTCAAAAATGAATGAAACTAGAAATGGATGAATGAAAAAAAGACATATTGCGGTCATTGTGAACATTTCACATATGTAAATATACCAGAAAAGAAAAAAAATATTAAGGGCCTACACAAAGGCGGAGAAAACACCTAGTATTCAATCTAAGATACTTCATTCCGATACATATGTACATACAAATGCCAATTTTCATTCTGAAATATCCCTTTTTTTTTGCAGATAGATAGAGTTATATTTTGGTGAATGTTCAAAGTACGTGGTTTTGTAATTTGTTATTCTCAGGAGATTGACATGTCTGGTGCTAAAATAATGTGAGCATCAATTAGATTCAGAGGATGGGTTGTTATTCTTCTTTAAATGACACATTTGAAATTAAGAATAGATGGGGTGGTCAGAATTTTTTGCCCAACAAATACTGGTCGAAAACTCTCTTGAAAATTCATTCCGAAAATTAGTCTCATGATTAGTTTCTGCAGAATGAAGATTCTGGCGACATTTCTTGATCTTTCCCAGCTCAAGATATTCAGTGAAATGTGGATTTCCTATGACGTAACAGATATTCAACAATCCCCCGACGTTATGCAGTTTTTCGTGCATTTCATGGCAGAGTAGGCCGTGATCAAATTCGCAGAAACACCTATGTAGAAATTCCAGGTGACACTATCCTCCCGAGTTAGCACCTGAAAATTGCACATGGCCAACATGTCTTCTGTGCTATGTGAACTATAGAAAGCAAGTGAAGATTCTCTTCGATGTGAAAAGTCAATTTCAATTGTTTTATTATAATATTAAGTATCATTCGGTTTCACTAACATCAATAATTGAACTCATTTATTTTGCGATCCATTTTCTCTCCCAACTCATCTTATCTATACTGGATACTCACTCATATATAATAGTGTGGCCAACTGTATCAATAATCAAAAACTTCGTTATTGATACAAAGAATTTTATTGTTCATATTTTACTCATGCCTGCTTCTTCATACTCAACCCCCGATATTGTTTTCTGGATGGCCTCTGTTACAAACTCACAATTCACTCAAACTCGTTTAGAAGTTGATAACGTGATTCTTGCCAGAAAACTTTCAGGGACTTGTGAACTTCAGATTTCCGTTTATCTTTAAAACGCTTCCATTCACCCTTTATACTTTTTGAATCCTACATTTGAGATAATTATTTTTCAATGAACCAGAAAACTAAATTTCAGTGTTATGCGAGTAAAATAATTTTTCAGCTCGTGTTGATAGTTAAATTTTTTTGTTTTTTTTTTGTTGTTGCTTGTATGTTAGTTATTTCATTGTAATTTCAGTTTTTTGCTTAATGAAATTGTGTTTTCAGCTATTCTTTTTGAATATCTTACAGATTTTCTCAGGGATTTCAAATCATTTTATATCTGTTTAAAAAATCTGTCTGTTTTTCCGTGAATCAGCTGTCGCCTCCATTCGAACGACAACCATCAGAAGTTGAGAGAAGTTGAGTCCGAACTGGTGAAATACACCACGAAACATTATCAACCACCTTTGAACAAATGGAAAATATTGATTTATATGAGATCGGATTACCTGACTGAATCACACACAAATCAGGCAAGGACTGCATCCCTGCGTTTATCTTCCACGTAAGTAGATGAAACGTCACGACCAAAACCTGGACAATGGCTTTGACAGAATTTCCAATGATTTTGTAATTCTTCAATTACAATTCTTCTGCTTTTTCGACCTGGGTAAAAGTTGGGAAAAGTTGGGAAATTTTGGGCCATGAAGATAGAAAAAAATTATAGTGAAAAAATAAATAAAAATTAAAAAAATAAAAATGAGAGAAAAGAAAAGGAGAGGTAATAAGAAAAGGGAAAGAACCAGGAGAAGGTTGAGATTTCACAACATGCATAACCGGAAGTGAATTCTGAGTCGTTTGAAATCTTCAAAAAAGTTTAATTTCTCCCAAGTTTCAGGCGAAAAGAAGTTGATAATCATCAACCTATAGTGCTCCGGTTGTATTCATTACAAGACACTCAATAACCTACATATCTTGAACTTTTCATATAAATTGAAGAATTACAAAATCATTGGAAATTCTGTCAAAGCCATTGTCCAGGTTTTGATGGTTACGTTTCATCTACTTGCGTGGAAGATAAACGCAGGGACGCAGTACTTGCCTGATTTGTATGTGATTCAGTGCAGGTAATCAGATCTCATATAAATCAATATTTTCCATTTGTTTGAAAGTGTTTGACAATGTTTCGTGGTGCATTTCACCAGTTCGGACTTCCATTGTCTAGTATGATATGAAATGATTTGAAATCCCTGAAAGAATCTGTAAAAAAATTTGAAAAATTAGCTGAAAAAACAATTTCATTAGGCAAAAAACTTGAATTACAATGAAATAACATACAAGAAATAACAAAAGAAGAACAAAAAAATTGAACTATTAACACGAGCTGAAAAATTAGAAAATTATGAATAAGAGATGAAAATTAAAATTCAAAGATTCCAAACCAAATTACTTCACGACGTTTCGATTGTTAGTATCCACAATCGTCTTAGGGTGATAACAATTTCCAGTTGAAATTGTTTCTGTCAGCCTCAATATAATTTCGCCTCGTTATGTAATCTTGAATAGTAGCTCTGTTTTTTTTTGAATGTAATAACGTGAGTGCCTCCTCTGATTTTCAGGTATACCCTATGCGATGACTTTTCTTGTGTTCGGAGAGCCGGTATGGGCTCTCCAAACACAAGAAACTATTTTTGACGTACCAATGTAAACCGATCTACAGCTACAAATAATCCGATATACCCACAGTGTTGCTCAAGACTATCTGGGCTCCACAGCTAACCTGATACCAATATTGGGTTTTTTTGTATTTCTCCAGATTTTTCCAATACATTCCGTAACATTCTCAACATAGGACAGGCAAATTTTTCATCGACGAATCTATTTGACGTTCGAGTCCGACTTTGCTATACTCATTTTGTTTGGATATGTTTCAGTTTCTCTACAAAAACATGTTCGATTTTCAATAATGAATCTCCCTTGTCATGGCGTCATAGTTTTATTCCATTGTCTGTTATCGATTGTCGCTGCCGGTTTCCATTGTGGATCGTTGCAATAATTGTTTCCCTTGTGATAATCCCTTCGATAATCAACATAGTGTGTTGATTATCGAATTTGTTTGATGATTATCGACTTAGTGATAATTGAAGAAGGATATTGAAAAGCGTTGAAATTAAATAAGAGATGATCAGGAACATAGAAATATAAACTTCCGGAGAAGGTTTTGCCAGATAAATATATTGCAGGGCGATTTGAATCCAAAGTCAATCGCGACATTCGCACAGACGCCGTTCTGAGAGTATTTTATTTTTTCTATAGATATATAGATCATTCCTATATTGATTTCAATTCAAAAGCCATAGTTGTTTCAGCCTGTTGGGCATCGTCAGTACCGGGCAGCCGGTCCTCGATTGAAGACAGAATTTGAATAACAAAAAAAGTACTCAATAAAAATAACTGCCTGAATGCACTGGCACTGGAAATACAAACTGCGTTTTTATCAGAATCTTCATTCTGATTTCGTGTTAGGAATCTCACGTCAAAAGGTAAGACCTCGTTAATCCTTAGCTCGCACAAGTTTCGACTTCTGAAAGTTGTCGTTCGTAGGGGTGCGACAGCTGGTTAACGGAAAAACAGATTTTAAAACAGATTTTTTTTTAATGTGTACTCTAGAGCCCACAATAGCTTTCTATAGGTTTTCCAATTATCAAATTTGTTTGATGATTATCGACTTAGTGATAATTGAAGAAGGATATTGAAAAGCGTTGAAATTAAATAAGAGATGATCAGGAACATAGAAATATAAACTTCCGGAGAAGGTTTTGCCAGATGAATATATTGCAGGGCGACTTGAATCCAAAGTAAAGAAGATGAATAGAAGTGAGTTTTATTCTGCCTAGTCGCCTAAAACTCTACTATTGATCAAAAAGAATAGGAGTTTGTCAGTTTGACCAGAATTAATCTCGTAAAAAGCATAAAAGTCTCATTATTTCTGCTATGGAAATTTACATTGTTGTTAACACACTTGAATTCGTAACAATCAGAACACCTTTTCATAGAATGAAAATATTAGAAATTTTGCAACAATTTACCTTTTTGACTTTTCCACCACTGCCTCACTCTACAAGAATAACCCACAAAATGAGATTACTCTTTTATATATTGCCATATAAATATGACACGTGTCGGAAATCAACAGTTATTTTGGTGTGTACTCATGTCGTTGAATCAATATCTTCATGGAACCGTGCTGCATTTTGAAGATTC